ATGTGTGTGTTGTCACTTTTTAATGTGGTTGTCACTGTTAATGTGTGTGTTACTGTAATGGTGTGTCCTGTGAATGGTGTGTGTGTTACGTAAATGTGTGTGGTGTACTGATGTAAATGTAAATTGTGTGTCATGTTAATGTTGTGTGTTAATGCAAATGTTGTGTCACTGTTTAATGTGTTTGTGTTACTGTAAATGTGTGTGTCACTATTGTGTTGTCATCGGTGTGTGTGTCACTGTGTGTGTGTGGTCCGTGGTGTGTGTGGTTACGGTAAAAGTGTTGTGTGTTACTGTAATGTGTGTTTGTTCAATGTAATGTGTGGTGATGTGTATTACTGTAATATTGTGTGTGTCCACTGTATAATGGGTGTGTTTTTTGACTGTAAATCTGAGTGCACTGTGAAATTTGTTTTTCAGTAATGTTTGTGTCCACTGTAATGTGGTGTGTCACTGTTAATGTGTGGGTCACTGTAAATGTGTGTGTTTTACGTAAATGTGTGTGTCACGTAAATGTGTGTGTCACTGTAAATGTGGGTGTCACGTAAATGTTTTGGTCACTGTAAATGTGTTGTCACTTAAATGGTGTGTGTGTTTACTTTAAATGTGTAGTCACTGTAAATGTTGTGTGTGTTCTGTAAATGGGGTATGTCACTTTTTCATGTGTGTGGCCACTGTAAATGTGTGTCACTGTAAATGTTGTGTGTGTCACTGTAAATGTGTGTCCCTGTAAATGTGTGTAGTGTGTCACTGTAAATTGTGTGTGTGTGTCACTGTAAATGTGTGTGTGTTTGTCACTGTAATGTTTTGTGTGTGGCAATGTGTGTGTGGTCACTTTTTGTGTGTATCACTTGTGTGTGTGTGTCCCTGTAAATAGGTGTGTCACTGTATGTGTGTGTGTCACTGTAAATGTGTGTGTGTGTGTCACTGTAAATGTGTGTGTGTGTCACTGTGTGTGTGTGTGTCACTGTGTGTGTGTGTGTCACTGTGTGTGTGTCACTGTAAATGTGTGTGTGTGTGTCACTGTGTGTGTGTGTGTCACTGTGTGTGTGTGTGTGTCACTGTGTGTGTGTGTGTGTGTCACAGACGCCATGACCACCACAGTGGCTAAACGGGGGCTCTGGACGGGTGTGAGGGGCTGGTAACCCCTCCACCTTCAATTAACCACCACTAAACCACGAATTAAACATAAACCTGAAACAAATAAGCTTGTGCCGGAGGCCCCGGGGGGTCAGGCTTTTATGACGTCTCCTGGCCAAACCCCATTTGGCGGAGCCAGGAGATTGAATTTTCACCCTCGGGGCTCCTCCAGAAACAACAAAAAACCATTGCGGATGGCCACGTGGAATGTTCGAACGCTCACTGCGGAGGAGAGGCTGCCACTCCTCTGTCGGGAGCTGGACCGGTACCGCCTGGATCTCTGTGGCATTCAGGAGGTCCGGTGGACCGGTTCTGGCTCCTGCCACCATGAGGGGTGGACAGTCCTCTACTCGGGGCAGGAGACTGCCAAACAACAGGGTGTGGCTCTTCTTCTGAACAAAAGAATGAAGGGGGCGTGGGAGCGTGGCGGTGAGGTGTGGGAAGCTGTAAGCCCCAGGATACTTTGGGCTCGCCTTCCCATCAACCAGAGGCGAGGAGTGGTGGTCGTGGTTACTTATGCCCCCACCGAAGACGAACATCCGTGGAGGGATGCAGGCAAAGCCGATGAGTCAGACTCTTTCTATGACCTCCTGTCACAGGTGCTGGCTAAAGTGGCCACTCGGGACAGAGTCATCTTGTTGGGTGACTTCAATGCCCGAGTTGGTCATGATGCTGGTACCTGGTCTGGAGTGATTGGAAGGCATGGGCCAGATCAGCTCAATAATAACGGTAGGAGGCTGCTAGATTTTTGTGCAGCCCATGGGCTTGTAATTACCAACACGCTGTTCCGGCATCGGCGCATCCACACAACATCATGGATACATGCCGGGTCCAAGCAAGAACATCTGCTGGACTACATAGTGACGGACCAGCGGATGCGAGCCCATGTCCTTGACACCAGGACCTACCGTGGAGCTGATCTGTCCTCTGACCATCGACTAGTCATCTGTAAGATGCGCCTGCCTTTCTTCCACTCCGGTGGTGGGTGTACACCCAGGATCCCATTCCAACCAAAAGTGGACTGGTCTCAGTTAGCTGATGAAAGTTGCAAGCGAGAATTTCATCATCGCTTGCAGCTGGGGTTGGCATCGTCCCCCACTCCACCTGATGTCGAGGGGAAATGGGCGAGGTTTAAGACTGTGACTCATGCAGCTACAATGGCTGCTTTGGGTACGCGGTCCAGACCTCCCCAGAAACCCTGGCTGACAGAGGAGGTGTTCAGGTTAATTGAGAAAAAGCGTCAGGCCCACTCTCATCGCCTACAGCATCCCACGTCAGAGAATGAGGAGGTTTACCGCAGCCTTCGCTCAGAAGTTCGGAGAGCCGTCAGGCGCTGTAAGGATGGGTGGTGGTCGCGGGTTGCTGAGGAGATGGAGTCTGCCTCAGTGGCCCGTGATCACAAATCACTATTTAACTCCATCAAAAAAGTAACCTGCAGCGCCACACCTATTACCATCATTAGAGGAAAAAACGGTGATCCAATCTCCGACCCCCAGGAACAGGTTTGCAGATTTGCTGAGCATTTCTGTGAGGTCCTGGGGGAGGGAAATTCTCTCAGCCAGGAAAACATCATGGCACAAAGTGGTGATAACCCTGCTGAGGCTGCGGTGCCTCAAATATTGGAAGAGGTCACCCCCTGTGAGTGGCTGGCTGAGGTGCCATCTGTTGAGGAAGTACTGAAGGCGATCCGGAGTCTGAGACCAGGAAAGGCACCGGGCAGAGATGATCTCCCAAGCGAAATGCTGAGGGAGGGTGGCGGTTGTGCACAGACTGCCCTATATGACATCATAACAACAGTCTGGACCACTGGACGGGTTCCGCAGGACTGGAAGGATGCCCTGGTGGTTCCCCTCTTTAAGAAGGGGGACCGTACCGACTGTAACAACTACAGGGGCATCTCACTCCTCAGTGTGCCGGGTAAGGTCCTGGCAAGGATTATTCAACATCGCCTTGCTAGGCACGCTGAGGAGAGGCTTGCGGAGCCCCAATGCGGTTTCAGGAAAGGGCGGTCCTGCACAGATGCCATATTTTCTGTCCGTCTGCTACAGCAGAGGTGTAGGGAATTCCAAAAAGACCTACATCTCTGCTATATTGACCTGGTCAAAGCCTATGATACCATCAGTAGGACTGGGCTCTGGGTTGTTCTTCGTGCTTTCGGAGTCCCTGACCCTCTGCTCACGATCATTAAGGACCTTCATGATGGTGAGCGGGCCCGGGTAAAACTACGTGGCCGGGAGTCGGAGCCTTTCCCTGTACACCTTGGGGTGCGACAGGGATGTCCTCTGGCTCCCACATTATTTAACATCTATTTTGACCGCGTAGTTCGTGAAGCCTTCAATAGCTGTACCGGGGGAATTTCCATTTGGTACAGATATAATGGGAGGCTGATCGACGCCCGGGTGCGATCAAGGGATGGCTCCCTATTGGTCAACCACGTTATGTATGCCGATGATTTGGTAATAGCTGCTCATTCAGAAGAGGAGTTGGAGGCGCTGCTGCTGAGACTGGAGCGTGCCACTAAGAGGTGGGGCCTTACCATCAGCCCCACCAAAACTAAGCACCTGCCTGGGTATTTTGTACCATCGGACACTCCACCCCCACAACTCCCAATTGGTGATGGGGCAGTTGTGGAGAGAGTGGAGAGTTTCCCATACCTGGGCAGTGTGCTTATGACCGGCTCCAGTCTATCAGCAGATGTCTCACTCCGAATCAGTCGAGCGGCAATATCTTTTCATCGGTTGCGTAACGCTGTGTGGAAGCTACCTGGTCTGTCGCTCCACACGAAGCTTCAGGTCTTCTCGGCCACGGTCATTCCCTCCCTTCTCTACGCTTGCGAGACGTGGACCCCCCTGGTGGAGCATCTTCGCCGGTTGGAAACATTTAGGCTGGCCTGCCTACGATCCATCCTGGGTTTAACCAGGCTGGATTGTGTGAGGAGCTCACAAATCCTTGAAAGATCTGGGCAAAGTCCCATCAGTGAGCTCCTCCGGCAGGCAAGGCTGCGTTGGCTGGGTCATGTAGCCCGCATGCCCAGCCACCGCATGCCTAAACAGCTTTTGTTCGGCCGGATCGAGGGGGCTAGACGGGCGCGGCACGGGCTGGAGAAGAGATGGAGTGATGTGGTACAGGAGGACGTGGAGCTGAGTGGACTTGCCGATGACTGGTACCAGCGGTGTCAAGATCGGCCTCAGTGGAGGAGGCTCGTGAAGGACGCTACTGGGCAGTTGGAGGCAGTCGCCCTCCAACAACAACGGAGGGCGGAGGAGCGACGCTCACAACAACGAGCGGAGCGCCGGGTGGCTAAAGCACAGCAAGTTGGCACAGTAGGGGGCACAGGTGGTGCATCAGCCAGTCATCTCGGTCATCTCGGTCAGTCGACCCGTGGCACCTGGGTCTGCCCCGTGACCTCCTGCCAGCGGGCTTTCGACACTTCACGTGGCCTCAAGGTGCACTTGGCCTGGCACAAGCATCGTGGTGACGTCACCGCCACTTAGTGGCGAATGGCGGTTGTTGTTGTTGTTGTGTGTGTCAGTGTGTGTGTGTGTCACTGTGTGTGTGTGTCACTGTAAATGTGTGTGTGCGTGTGCGCGCTGCGCTACAAACCCGGCGACCTGAGTTTGATTCCTGTTCACAGCCAACGCCAGTGACGATTATCTGAAGCGGTGCTGGGCCTCCCCCAGGCCACGAGTGTGTGGCGCGGCGGCGTGTGGTCACCATCGCCACGCCAGAGACACAGACGCGGCCGGGCGCGCTGCTGCCCACCGACCCCCTCGTGCTGACAGCACGTGCCCCCAACAACAAGTCCGTCGAGGCTACGTGGGGGCGGGGGGGGGATCTTTGTGCTCGTGCGAGGTGTGCGGGACCTTGCTGGCGCTGGCGGTGCTGCAGTTGACCCAGCAGCGGGAGCCGAGCTGCCAGCGCTGCGTGCACGTGTAGGAGCCGTGCAGCACTGGCGGCAGCGGGGGGCACTGCACGGGCACGCAGCCGCCCTCCTCCCAGTGGCCACTGTCCGTGCACCTCACCTTGAACCCCCTGGGGAGGGAGGCGGGCGGCGGCAGGAGCCGGGTGATTTGCGAGCGTGTTGGCTGTGCGCACGTGTGTGTGTGTGCTCGCCATCTAAAACTATTAAACATTTTTTTTCTTCCCCAGGTAAGGTCCACGGAGCTGTAGTCGCTCTTTTTCAGAAGTGACCTTGCCACAAATGACAGCAGTGAAACAATCTTGATGTGAAGTTTTCGTGACTGCAGGGATCCATACTCTTTGGCTCTTTCGGTAAGGCCGTCATCAGGTGGGACAAGCACAGCAAGAAACAATCGCTGAAGTGGGCAAAAGGGCTGTCGTGACAAGAGGCTATATAGGTAAGAAGCAGTGAAGGTTTTAACCTGGTTAATAACATCATTCCAATGATCGCTCAATTTGTATCCATCTTCTCGGTTGATGTTATGTCTATGTTTATATATCTGGATGGCTTCATGAACAAACCTTTGATAGTAGCCCGAAGGTTTGCAGAGTACCCTGGTCTCGGAAAAAACAATATTAGGAGAGCCCACAGCGTCATAGCGATGGTCAGCCACGCGGAGGTATTGGTTCTGCCGTGTTTCAGATCTTCCTTGTCGTTTCGTTTCCCCAATGTAACAGCCACTACAGGTGCAACTTAGTTTGTAGACTCCAGGATATTGTTGTCACGTGACGAAAACAACCGCGCAAATTTATGACTGCAAAATAATCGCGATGCGTTTGTAGAAAGGTGTATTACACACGTACGTGGGGACACAGCCAATCCTTAACATTTGCCAACATTTGGAACGATGATTCCGGCATTGAGCGCCCCACACGTGCGCGTGACGTGCACCCAGGGCACGGTGTTTGTGAGCACACACGTCTGCTCGCGTTCCATGACCGTGGCGGGGTGCTGGTGTGCCGAGGGTAGCGGGAGGTGTGGAAGCGGGCTTTACTTGCGACTGGTGAGCGGCACGTGGTGTCCCGGCTCGCAGCGATACTTGCAGGAGGAGCCGACCTCCTGTCCGTCGTGTTTGCAGCGGTCGGTGCGCGCCACGGCGTTGGCCATGGGCGGCGGGGCCCGGCACGTCAGCTGGCAGTACGCCTCCGGCAGGGACCACAGTCCGTCCTCCTGGCACCGCAGCTCTGCGCTCGCACCTGGCGTCCCCGCGGAAGGACAAACGCAAAGACGTTCGGCGTCACAATCCGTCGTCGGCGATCGTGTTTGCCGCGGCGGCGATTAAAGCCGGAGGGAGAATGACGATGGTTCTCGGTGCTCCCCTCTTCACAGTGTTAAAACTATTAAACTAGTTTTTATTTTACCAGGTAAGGTCCACCGAGCTCTCTGGCTCTTTTTCAAAATTTCACACGATGGCGAGCCAACGAAGGGTGGGTAATCATCGCGTGGAAATTCCTAGCAGTCAACAAATAATCAAAACGCACATTCATTCGAAATGTGGAGGGAAAAACGGGAAGAATCGGAGAAACGTCCATGAGATCGCCGGGAGAGAGAGAGAGAGAGAGACGCGCAGACTCCATATAGACAACAGGCATCAGGGTCGGGATCGAACCCACGACCTCTTGTATACCAGGCGAGGTAGTTAACATCTCCTAGCCACCGTGATGATGATGAGTGAGAGAGAGACGCGCAGACTCCAAATAGACAGCAGGCGTCAGGGCCAAGATCGAATCCACAACCACACAACCGCAAACACTTACGGATGTCCTTGGCGAAATGCAAAGGTGCTGCAATGTGCAAGTATATTTTACACTTATGTAGGGCTGTTACAGAGGGTCTGTTTGTGTAGGGCTGTTTACATAGGGGCTAACGGAAAACAGACACAGTGGGCGGGGTCTCCGTGAGCACACGGGGTGGTGCCCGCAACGACGTCCGTACCGGACGGCGTGAGGGGGGTTTCGATCCTCTAACGGGGTATAAAAAGGGTTGAGCCAGAGAGCTCGGGGCTCAGTCTTAGAGTAGTTAAGAGAAGAGAGAAGACCGGCCAGATAGGCCCTGGACTCCCCCTGGGACGCCGCCCTTGTAAGGGCAGTGCAGGCTGGAGCCAGTGGCGTGGTCCCGGAACCAGAGTCAGACCTCTGGGATTCCGGGTACCGTAGCCCGACTAACCAGTGTCGGGCCAGACAGCCTCCCCTAGCCCGTTAGCGGAGGACTCAGCTAGGAAGGCTAGCTAGGGGTGAATTCCCAGTTGTACGGGTGAGGGGGCCGATACATCCCTCTAGTACTGTAAGCCCTTTGTGTAAATAAATACGTGTGCCTTACCCCGTTGTCCACGCGTCTTCAACAACACTTCATCTGGCGTCAGAAGAACCAAGAACATGGACACGCGCCAAACAGCTGGAGCCAGGGAACAGCGGGCGGAGGACGCCGCCGAAATTGTCGAGCCCGAGATGGCTCTACTAGACGACGTGCAGCCGGGGCCGGATGCGGGCTTACCGGAGCATCGCCATGAAGAGGAGCAGCGGGGAGACGACCTGAGGCTGGCTCATGAGAGGCTGGCGGAACTGCTCTACGCCGCTGCCGCTACGCTGAAGGACATCACACGGCTGGGGGCTGGTGGTCCACCGCGGGGCGAGGGGAACCGGCGTGTGGAGCGCCTTCCCGCCATTTCTGAAGATTTAAATTTTGAAATTCCCGCCATCGACGCAGCGACCGCTAGGGGCGTGGCCAACCTCAACCTGGGGTCCGACATCGGCCGCGCTGGGGCTGCTGCATCAACGACGGAGGAGGGCGCGTCATCAAAGCTGCGACAGGCGATGCCATCTGCCATTCGCGCCGAGACGCAGCCGAGTCGGGGAGGCAGCAGTCCACGGGACTCCACGGCAGCCGCTGCACTACACCAAAGGCTGCCCCCGCTTAAAGAATTCGTGGGCGCAGAGGGCGACTGGAGCGGCTTTCGAAGACGCTTCCTCGCCCACCAGGAGATGGCTAAATGGACGGACGAAGAAGCTCTCAGCGCCCTGCCGGCGCTCCTGGACGGCGACGCGCTTGCCGCCCTAACATCGGCACCAAAGGAAAGGCGCTCCACGTTACCGATGGCGCTGCAGCTGCTGGGAGGGGTCTACGGACCGTCGGCGGAATGCAGACAGGAGTTCTACGACCGCAAGCGGGGAGAGAAGGAGTCGCCCCTAGCGTACCGAACGAGCCTCCTGGCGATGGCCAAGTCGGCCTTCCCCCGGATGGATGACGACGGCATCGACGCTATGGTAACGGAGAAGATACTCCTCCTGGCCGACGATCTAGACATCGCTGTCGTCGCACAGGAGGACGCGGAAATGACATCGCTCCAGGCGGCGCGGCTCCTCCACGCAAACCTCCTGTCGCTTCGACGCAAAGCCAGCAGGGCATCGGCGGGGCGTGCGGTGGCTGCAGCCACCCTTCCGACGGAGGAACTCTACGCCGTCGACCACCGACGGCAACAGGCGACGAGTGCACGGCCGGGCCAGGACGGGTCAGGCCGTTCCGACCACTCGTCACCTCCGACGTCGCTCCCGCGGTGTTATAACTGCGGCGTCCGGGGCCACGTCGCCTCGGGGTGCCGCTCTCCTCGTCAGCGCGGGACGACACCTCACCGGGACGACGGGCCTCATCCCAAGCTCCACCGTCAAAAACCGGCGAGTCGCGGCACCCCACACGTTTGGCCCACACACACACCCGTCACGCACTCAAACACCGCGACGAGAGGGGGGCCGGTATCACGCACCATCGCACCATCACGCACCACTCCGGGTACCCATATCGAACCCGGCCAGTGGTCCGTGCTGGCCGATCGTGTGGTTGCCGCATCGTCGGGGTCGTCGGCCGTTGTAGGATATATCGACGGGGTGGAAGTGCGCATCCTGGTCGATACGGGGGCATCGGCGACTATTATTTCGGAATTAATTTATAACATTCTCCCTGTCCGGAGTCGTCCCTTGATGCCAGTTAACATACCATTCTATGCGGCTAACGGGGGCTCACTTGGCATCATCGGACAAATTCGCGCCCAAATTTGTATCGGGGAAATAAAATTGTCTGGGCCGATTTTTGTTTCGTCCTCGCTGGCGGTTCCGTGCCTGCTGGGGACGGACTTCCTGGCCAAAATGCCGATTGTAATTTTGATCGACCAGGGGTGCATAGAGCTTCCATCGGGCAGACGCATGGCGTTTCTGCCATCACCAGTTGCGACTCGGACGGCGTTCGCGACGGTGCCGGCGTTCGTGGAGAGAACGGTACGCGTTCCTCCGGGAACGCAAATGTTGGTGCCCTTGAAACTTCGGCGGCCCCTCGTTAAGGGTGCCGGGGCACAAGGGGTACTGTTGGGACCGTCTAGGGCCGGGGTTAGTGGACCTGATTTACTACCGGCCCAGACCATAGTGAGAGGGGATAGTGAACCCTTCATCGCGGTCCTAAACGTGGGCTCGCGGACGGTGGTGCTCCCACAGGGGACCGTGCTTGCTCACGCAACGCCGGTGCCGTGTGAGGAGCCCGCCGTCAATTCCGTCAACACTGTCCCTGCGTCGCGACCGCGTTCGGACAGCGATGAAGGGTGGCTCGAGGCGCTTTGTGCGGGATCGACGGACCTGTCCGATTCAGAGCGTCAACAACTTAAAACGCTACTGCGAGAATTTTCCGACGTTTTTAGTCGAAATAAATATGATTTGGGTTGCACTCACTTGCTGCGTCACCATATTGACACGGGTGACAGCGCGCCAATTCGCCAAAATCCGTTTCGGTTGAGTCCCGCCGAAAAGGAACATGTCAAATCGGCTGTTGATGACATGTTAGCCGCGGACATCATTTCTCCTTCCACCAGCCCTTGGGGAGCGCCGATCGTCCTGGTTAAAAAGCAGGACGGTTCGTTGCGGTTTTGCGTTGACTTCCGGCGTCTTAATAAAATTTCGGTTGCCGACGCATACCCGCTCCCTCGGATGGATGAATCGCTTGACGCCTTGGCGGGAGCGCGATTCTTTTCCACACTCGATTTACTTTCGGGATTCTGGCAGCTTCCTCTGGATGATGAGTCTAAGCCTAAAACTGCTTTTCGTACACCGCACGGCTTGTTTCAATTCAACAGGTTGCCGATGGGCTTGCACTCAGCGCCGGCAACTTTCCAGCGTTTAATGGAATTGGTTTTGGCTGGACTGCAATGGGAGTCGTGCCTCATTTATTTGGATGACGTTATCGTCTTTAGTAAAACTTTTGATGAGCATCTCCAGAGGTTGCGGGCAGTTTTCCTAAAGATGCGGGCTGCTAATTTGAAATTTAAGCCCCAAAAATGCCATTTGTTGCGTGATTCGGTGCGTTATTTGGGGCACATCGTGGGACGCTCAGGTATTGCTACCGATCCCGCCAAAACGCAGTGTGTCAGCTCCTGGCCGACTCCCACCACAGTGGGAGAGGTCAGGAGTTTTATTGGGTTCGCGTCGTATTATCGACGGTTTGTTGCTGATTTTGCAACGATCGCTAAACCCCTGCACGCTCTAACATCTAAAGGGGTTCGTTTCCACTGGGGTCAAGAGGAGGAGGCTGCGTTCCGCTCCCTTCGGGACGCCCTGGTGAAAGCCCCTCCCTTGATCTACCCTGATTTTTCGAAACCCTTTTTGCTCGACACCGATGCGAGCAACACGGGTATTGGGGGTGTGCTTTCCCAGGTGGTTGATGGCGTTGAACGGGTGGTCGCATACGGTAGTCGGGTGTTGTCTCCTGCGGAGCAGAGATATTGTGTTACCCGTAGAGAACTGTTGGCAATTGTTTTTTTCATCCAACAGTACCGCCCATATCTGTACGGTCGGCATTTCACCGTCCGCACAGATCATGCGGCACTACAATATGCCCTGCGGGTTCAACAACCATCGGGACAGTTGTCTCGATGGTTGGAGGTTCTCCAGGATTTTGATTTTGAGACCACTTACCGTAAGGGCGTTCGCCATACCAACGCGGACGCTCTGTCACGCATGCCAACCGCCTCGGAATGTGCATGCCTCCTGGGGTCGGGACGTTGCAGACCTTCAGGGGACGCATCGGTCCCGATCCTGGCTGCCACCGACGACGACGAGCCACTGGTTGATAACTCAATCGAACAACAGGGAAGGGATTCCCTGTTGGGGTTGCCCGTCACTGAGTGGGGGCGCCTCCAAATGGAGGACACCTCCCTCCTCGGGTGGCGTCGTCGCGTCGGGGGTGCTGGCCGGGTGAAAGGTGATTCGGGTGCATGGGAAATGGTACAGGGTCTGCTCATGCATTGGGACGCAAAATCACAGCGACATCGGCTGGTCGTCCCTTCGGAGTTGCGAGGCAAAGTGGTGTGGGCCGCGCATGAGCGCCTGTTACATCTGGGGACTCTAAAGACCCTTGCACTGATACAGTTGGATTTTTTTTGGCCTGGTATGACAAAGGATGTGGGGGATCTTTTGAGTTCATGCCCGCGGTGTGCGCAGCGGAAACCGCCGGCGCGGGAGTCTAACCCGCCTTTACAATCAATCAAGGTGTCCAGAATAAATGAGCTGGTCGCACTGGACATCTTGGGCCCATTTCCCGCCACCCCCAGGGGCAATAAGTATTTGCTGACAGGAGTCGAGTATTTTACACGCTGGCCCATGGCCTGGCCCCTTGCCAACCAGTCGGCAGCAGCCATCGTGGACGCCTTTGTTCAGGGATACGGCCTGGACAAAGGTGCCCCGGAACGGCTGCTGACCGACCAGGGTAAAAATTTTTCCAGCAAATTACTTAAACAAGTTTGTGACCTCTTAGGCACAAAGAAAATTCGGACCTCCCCGTATCACCCACAGACTGACGGAATGGTCGAGCGCCTGCATCGCACCATTTCGTCAATGATGGCACAGCAGGTCTCAGATTCCCAGACTGATTGGGACCTGCATATTCAGGGGGTCTTGGCGGCATACCGGATGGCACCCCATGCAGCTACGGGGTTTTCCCCCTTTTACCTTATGTACGGTCGCGAACCCGACCCGCCTGTTCGCGCCCAGCTGCAGATCCCCGACCAGCAAGGAAAAACTAAATTGGCTGACCACGTCAAATTTAATTTGGCTAAATTAACAGAGGCGCGGGATGCTGCGAGGTTAAACTCGGACCTCCGTCAAAAGGCGAACGAGCGCCTCAGGTTGGGTCGGGCGCATGTCATACAATGGAAACCGGGGGACAGGGCATGGCTGCACTGTCCCCAAGTACCCCTGGCTACCTCCCCAAAGCTGGCGCGGCCGTGGCGGGGGCCTGTGGAAGTGGTCGAGGTCCTGCGACCACAGTGCGTGCGCATTCGTTGGGGGAAGCGGCGATGGTTCGTGCACCCCTCTCGGTTGAAACCTTTCGTCGCGGCACACAAACCCACTTCACACATGCATGGCCAGACGTGTGGGGGGTCGACCGACTCACTAGGTCCGTCTCCACCGCGCTCACCTAATGCCTTGCCGGCCGTGCCACCTCCAGGTGCATCGGGACTGACGGGCTCACGCCCGACCACCCCTTCTGGGGATACCAACAGTCACGAGGCGTCAGAGGAGGCCCCGCTCCCGGACGGACGATTGCCACCTGACGGTCCGCCACCCGGGGTTTCCCCGTGTGAGGGGCCCGCCGCAAGGACACGCGCAAAAATGCGCAGACTGTTGTGAAACCGCAAGGACACGCGCAAAAATGCGCAGACTGTTGAGGAACCGCAAGATTTGTATATATGTTGTGTTCAGTGTGTGTTGTGTGGGGGGGGGGGGGTGTTCCCTGCCCATTGCATTCACGTACGTTGGGCTCACCTGCTGTTGTGTGCATTGTGGCTCCGCTACAAATTGTATATAGCTTGTTCTTACGGTATCCGTATTTATTCGGGGGGGGGGTGCGTCGGATTGTTCCCTTTCAGGGTTGAGGGTTTTGTTGTTGTCATTGTCGTTGTTGTTGTTGTTACTGTTGGTTCCTTCAAGTTAGCGTTAAAAACGTTTTTTTAAGGCACACGCGGGGATCCAGGGGTTAAATAACCTTTATTGGAAGTTGTTGCAGCCGGGACGGCTGCGGGCTGTACAGGGGGGGGTGATGTAGGGCTGTTACAGAGGGTCTGTTTGTGTAGGGCTGTTTACATAGGGGCTAACGGAAAACAGACACAGTGGGCGGGGTCTCCGTGAGCACACGGGGTGGTGCCCGCAACGACGTCCGTACCGGACGGCGTGAGGGGGGTTTCGATCCTCTAACGGGGTATAAAAAGGGTTGAGCCAGAGAGCTCGGGGCTCAGTCTTAGAGTAGTTAAGAGAAGAGAGAAGACCGGCCAGATAGGCCCTGGACTCCCCCTGGGACGCCGCCCTTGTAAGGGCAGTGCAGGCTGGAGCCAGTGGCGTGGTCCCGGAACCAGAGTCAGACCTCTGGGATTCCGGGTACCGTAGCCCGACTAACCAGTGTCGGGCCAGACAGCCTCCCCTAGCCCGTTAGCGGAGGACTCAGCTAGGAAGGCTAGCTAGGGGTGAATTCCCAGTTGTACGGGTGAGGGGGCCGATACATCCCTCTAGTACTGTAAGCCCTTTGTGTAAATAAATACGTGTGCCTTACCCCGTTGTCCACGCGTCTTCAACAACACTTCACTTACATTGTAAAGTATGTGTAATGTAGCAGCTTCCAGAGACACCTTGTTCAGTCAGATGTACATTTATTATGAATTTAATGGCGAATGGCGGTTGTTGCCATGTATACGTACATGTCTGTGCGTGTGTGTGTGTGCGTAAGTTCATGTGTGTGTGTGGCTCTATGTGCGTGTGTGAGTCGATGTGTGTTTGTGTGTGAGTCTGTGTGTCAGTCGATGTGTGTACGGCAGTGTGTCTGTGTGTGACAGTCCATGTGTGTGTGCGTCGATATGTGTCTGTGTACGTCCATATGTATGTCTGTGTGTATGTGTGAGTCGATGTGTGTGCGTGGGTCCATGTGTATCTCTTAGTCGATATGTGTGTGTGTAAGTCCATATGTATGCTTAGGTCGATGTATGTGTGAGAGTCTACGTATGTGTGTGTGTGCGAGTCCATATGTGTGTCTGTGTAAGTCGATGTCTTTGTGTGTGTGTGGGTCGATGTGTGTGTCTGTTGCCCAGGCAACGCCGGGTACTTACCGCTAGTCATTCATAAAGTCCACCGACTCGCCGCTAACTTAACGAGTAACCGCGAGTTGACTACAGACACAGCTGGGTAACTTCTACGCGACGCTCCCCGTGTAGTTGGCTGGCTACACAGGAGCGGAAGGAGACACCGTCACTCTCCAAGAGCACAAGGTGCCCCCGTTCCAGGACGACGAAGACGACCCGCTCCAAGATGACGACGGTGACGACAGCTTCTTGGTTCCCCCACAACAACAGCAGCAGTAGCAGCAGCAGTAGCAGCAGTAGCAGCAGCAGCAGTAGCAGCAGCAGTAGCAGCAGTAGCAGCAGCAGTAGCAGCAGCAGTAGCAGCAGTAGCAGCAGTAGCAGCAGTAGCAGCAGCAGTAGCAGCAGTAGCAGCAGTAGCAGCAGCAGCAGGAGCAGCAGTAGCAGCAGCAGTAACAGCAGCAGTAGCAGCAGAAGTATCAGTAGCAGCAGCAGTAGTAGGAGCAGCAGCAGCCCAGAGCCCTGTTCCACGCCGGCTTTAAACCCTCTTCCCGAGCCATCTCTCGCCGCACCTGGCCCCCGTCCTGGCTCTGTCCCAATGACTATTCACCACCGTCTGAGATCCGTGCTCATCCTCACACTGCCCTGTCGGTGCCCGTCGCATCAATCATTATTGACAACCACTCAGGTCCCACGTTACCCTTACGTGAGACCCCCTGCCTGGTCCCTCTCATCCGGAATCTATGGGGAATGGAGGTTGCCGGTCAATCAAATATCCCGGTCATCTGAGAGTTACGCTTACGATTCACCGCATTTCACAAGCATGTTAAACTGTTCAAGAAAGAAACTCAGCCTGCATGTTGGGGAGGCCTTCATCTAGCAGTGGATTGACCATGGCTGAACATTGATGACGACGACGACGAGAAGTAAGAGATTGCTGGACGGGTCACCTTGCAGTTTGGCGGGTGGGAGGCAGACGAAGGTGGTGCGGGCACCGTAGCTCGTCCCGTGGGGGTAGCTGAAGTGGGCGTGGTACACGAGGTGCCAACTCGGGACGCCGCAGTCGACGGGCCGGCGGGCAACGCGCTCATCCCCCTGGCCCTCCACGCGGGTCACTCCCGCCTGATGCTGATTGGAGGAGGGGCGGCGTTCGTGACAAGGGCCTTTAAACTCCGACGCGATTCCGTCACGCGCCTCCCTCGTACCTAGTATTATTCAGCCCGGCGTCCGACGATCCTGACCAAACTGCCAAAGCTCGTGGCGCGAAACGTCGGACGTCGTGCCGACACGACACGCGGCAGCCGACCCGATAAACACCTCGGCGCGCCGTTACCGCACAACCGCGAAAACCTACGCTGCAGGACCCGCATGGCTGTATCGGTGTTGGGGGCGTGCAAACGGCAAATAAATCTGCGGAAAAAACTATTCTTACTCTCACAAAACTGCGATGAAATGGCGCCTCCAAACATTCCAATTATTGTGCAATCCACGGCGAGCGCACGGCACATTTCTAATGACGGTGCCAACGAAGCGGCACTAACGGAGCCCGAATGAGCAAACAACAACAACAACAACACGCTCGTGCGACAAACTCTCTTCAGTCAGCACGACGGGCTCCCCCCGTCACGCGAGCACGACGACAAACACCTCGTACTGGCAGGAACCTCCTGGTTACACCAGCCCACAGGGGATTATTGTGTCCGTCGTGCAGGGTGGGGCTGGGAGGGGTGGGGCTGGGTGGGGAGGGGCTGGGTGGGGAGGGTGGGGATGGGCTGGGTGGGGAGGGTGGGGGGTGGGAGGGGTGGGGCTGGGTGGGGAGGGGCTGGGTGGGGATGGGCTGGGTGGTGAGGGTGGGGAGGGGCTGGGTGGGGCTGGGTGGGGAGGGGCTGGTCACCCCGTGGTGCCCTTATAAAACTCAACGTTTAACCAACTCACGCCGGCTTGTGCCCGCCCTCACAGTCGGCCATATTTGCGGAATACACCACGCCGCCGTTGACCCTGCAGGCCATTGACCGAGCAACCCAACGTTACTACCAGCTCCCTCCGCAGGAGGGATGTGTCAAAGCCACGTAGAAGGCCGCCCGTTAACCTCCGCGGAAATCCGCGTAAACCACGAGGTCGGCGTGCGGTCAGCGCAACGGCGAGGGCTGAAGCGACGCCGAATTGCACGGGACGACGGTGGGCCCTCACCGGGTCCCCGTCCGCCGCGGGCTGCTGCCCGTCCTCGCTCGGTGCCCCTTGCCGCAGAGCACCTCGCACCGGCTGCCGGCCTCGTCGTCGCACCGCGCCGTGCCGTGAGCCGCCAGCCGCTGCAGGCAGGTGCTGCAGGCGTTGCAGGTACACCTGGCGCCGTTGGGGAGACACCAAGAGGGCGTGGGTTTGTTAGACGGCCTCCTCGCGTGAAGCGGGGGAACATTGAATGGAGTGGTGATCGGTCCAATAATGACACAAAGCATCACCGGGATGATTCGTCAATCAATCGTCGAGAAAATCTACAAATCGACTAAACATTGTAACAAATTAAATCTTGACTTAAAGCTTTCGTGACTGCAGGAATTCATATTCTGTGTCTTTCGGTAAAGTCAGGTAGATAGGTTCAACAACCTGTCTACGCGACCCAAAAGTGTTGTAATCGATTGCTTTTTCTTGTGGTTGATGACACGGGCCCCTTGATGGCCGCCCCCATATCCTGCCGCCTGAAGGTGGGAAACCCCCCCCCCACACCCGTCAATCTCCCACAGAGTTTGTGTCGTCCAATGACAATGGTGATGACCATGTCGTACGAAGCAATGACAACATTTCACAGGACGATGATATGTTTTGATATTCAGTCAAGCACTTGTGGAGATGCGGAGTCAATGTCAAGACATGTTTTTTCCTGGGGGAGTGACTCGGAGTGGATGGTTGTTTTGCTCGACGTTCGAATGCGCCACACTCGCCGCTCCGTGTACGGACCACGCCATTTTCATCCGTTCCGATTGGTCGAGCATTTCAAGCGATCAATTGGCAGAGAAAATCAACGACTTGAATCACTGGATGGGACCGGCTCTAATATAAAGCCAACGCACTTGTTAAAAGCACCGGAGTCTTTCGTTCGCACATTCAAGCCGGTGCTGTAAAGATAACACTGGTCAACAACAAAAGAACATGTTTTTCTGGCCTGGACTTTTGAAGCTGTTTTAGGCTAATTTCAGGGTGCCGATTCCAAATCTGATCTTAGATTTGCTCGATCACATCTCATTTTTATGCTATCGGCATACCCAATTTTCATTGATTTAACCCAAAATTAACTCTGTCAGTTATGATTGCAAGTTGTTGCGAGTCAGTGACTGCTTTAGTGTTAAAATATGGTGCTGTATTTTTAGGACAGTGTGTTTATAATATCATTTTATGTAGATATCCACATTTATTTAATATTTTTCTTCTGCAGTTTTTATTGAAAATGCAATCATTGATATCTCAAAAAACTCATTTGGAATCAGCACCCCAAAATTACCTTAAAACCGTTGGAATACCTTATGCCAGAAAAAGTGTGTTGACCAGTGTAATCGGACGTGTCTTGTTAACGTAATCGATAAACCACTTAGCTTCCCCGAACAGGGTGAGCACGCACTGGCCCTGTGGAGGGAGACGCCTCTTGGCCTGCTACACACGGCTCCCGTGTTTCTTCAACGATTAAAACGCACCGTAAATCTGGTGACACGTGTGGCTTCCCTCCGAGACGGGGCGGGGGGCAGGGGGCAGGGGGCAGGGGGCACACCGTAAATCTGGTGACACTTGTGGCTTCCCTCGGAGACGGGGGGGGGGGCGCATCGTAAATAACACGACATCCCTTGGGCGCCCGAAGCGCCTTCAGGCCCAGACCCCCCGCACCGAGCCCTGCTGAGCATCGACCGCCCTCAATCAGGGCCTTAAATTCAGTGCCATTGTTGGTTGCGCAGAAATTAATTTCGTGGAAATGCCACCGTGTGGCTCCCACGGTGTTACCGACGGCTTTTCTGAGCTTTTGGTGAGGAAACGAAATGCAATTAAGTGGATTGAAATGTGAATAGATGTGCCGGCTTCGTTTTATTTTTTATCCGAGTCTTACGCCCCCACACCTTTGCCCTCGTTATTGTCACAAGAAGGATCGCTCTGGGATTGACGCCGAGAGGTGCGTTTGTGAAGGGACAGGCCCAAAGCCCACTTCTGATAGAATCGATCACCGGTTATAGCCATGACCAGGAATCAAACCCACTCACTGGCTACAT